AGGAGTAAGAGTAGGAGTAGTAGTAGTAGTAGTAGTAGTCGTCGTCGTCGTAGTAGTAGTAGTAGCAGTAGTAGTAGTAGTAGTAGTAGTAGTAGTAGTAGTACTAGTACTAGTACTAGTACTAGTAGTTTTTATTAGTTAGTTAGTAGTTGGTAGTTGGTAGTTGGTAGTTAGTAGTTAGTAGCTAGTAATTAGTAGTTAGTAGTTTTACTCAGTAGTGAGTCGTTAGTAGTTAGTAGGTCGTAGTTAGTAGCTAGTAGCTAGCAGCTAGAGGTTAGTAGTTAGTAGTTTTAAGTTAGTTGTTTATAGTTAGTGGTATTAGTATTAGCAGTAGTAGTAGTAGTAGTAGCAGCAGTAGTAGCAGCACAAGCAGTGGTAGTAGCAGTAGTAGTACTAGTAGTAGTAGTAGTAGTAGTAGTAGTAGTAGCAGTAGTAGTCGTAGTAGTAGTAGTAGTAGTAGTAGTAGGCAGCAGTCGTAGTAGCAGTAGTAGTAGTGGTGGGGGCAAAAGGAATATTCATCATCTTGACGTAAGAGATGTCTGCCTTCGGCGTGATGGTGGAAAGCAGGGAGTTCAGCTGCAGCGGCCTCAGGACATCTAAATGAGGATTCGGACAAAACCATGAAGCCTGCATCGAATGCCTCAACCCTGGCAGAAGGCCAGCCTTACTTCGAATTCGAGGTTTCGCTTTCGGACGTTTGGGGTCATGAAGCCGATAGAGCTGTGTGCATCAATCCCTCCCAACGGGAAGGAGTGGGAAGGATCAAGAAGAAGAACAACGACAATCTGATTCTGCTAATGCTGCTTCTTTCAATTCCAAGACTAGCGCTACATCACGAGGTCCTACCGCGACAGTCCCTGCACCTCCCACTCCGATTTCCAGCATGACGACGACGGCCACGACGACGATTCCTGCGATTGCTTGCTACCACGACCGCGACGAAAGCGAGTATGTTGGCCCTGGTGGCGCAGGCAGTGAGCCAGGCCTGCAGATAAAACGATCCACCCACAAGGTCCTCACGGTCTTCATCTAATGAAGGGGATTGCGCAAATCGCAAAACTCGGCACGATGCCTTTGGAGGTCGCACTCAGCTTGAGATGCATTTCCGATAGTGGAATTGACCATCTGCTCAGAGCCTCTCGGGGAAAACGCCGTTGGCAAAGAGTTTCATACTGTGGGAACTGTTTCTTAAGCCTCTGGATTTGCGTAGGAATGTGGCTCGAGGAAACAAGGCTAACTGTTGTCTTGAAGCTCTGTCGAGATTTAGTGGGCTGCCATGCCGGGGCCGGGGCTGCTCGTCCAGATAGAACTGCACGGCCCGGTAGTAGAGCTCCATGTTGGAGACCTCTGTGCGAACACTAGCCAGGCACATGGCACTTTCGACGAGCATGGGTTGCCCACGAGAACTCATGTAATTTGAAGAACCACCGCTACCATCACTCGCAGTGTTCAGACAAAAAGGCTTCATGGCCTTGACCATTTCTCTCAGGGTGGAGGGCTTTGGGCGAACCTTCGCTTGCGAAACTAGGACTTCATCAGGGGTAAAGCTGCCTGCTGCAGAGTTTCGGACCTAGGTAGCCGAAATCATGACAGTAGAACCCTGTTGGAGAGTTGGAGCTCAACCAAACGCTCAGCATGTGCGATGGGGCGGTCCCGAAATCTCCTCCACGCCTCCAGCCGCCCTGTCACGGCTACCGGGTCGAGCTCCGCAGGAATCCGGAAATAGTAGTCTGAAAACCGCTCGTTCTACCGAGTTTGTATTGGCATTCGGACCAAAAACCTAGTTGATCTGAAGAACCCGAAGCCAAAATCTTTCTTGGGAAGCTCTGAAAGGCCCAGGCTGAAGGCCGTCCTGACAGTCAAAGCTAGCTCAGGAATTTCCCAGCCCTGAGTCACATGCACTAGGGCCACAAGGGCTCCTAAATTTTACTCTAAACCCCACAACCCTACAGTGGTTTACCTGGTTGCTAATTCGATCTTCTGCATCGGCGACATGTCGCCTGCAATGTGGCTTAAGATGCTGTTTGCGACAGCCTCAGAGACTGTGCCTAGTTTTCATGCCACGGTCTAGCTGAGCGAGCCCATGGCAGGGTTTGGGATAGCCAAAACTCATTGGCCAGCCCAGGTACAAAGTGAGGTACTTCTTGAGCCTGAATCCACCAGTTCAACGTCTGAATAAAGGACTTCTTGGTCACCCCTGTCTCCGTACAAGCCCAGCTGGAAACTGAGGTTGCTGACTTTCTGCATGATCATGAGAAACCTCGGCCGGTCAGCAGCAAACGCAGGGCAAGGGCCTGGGGTTGCGGGGCTACCTTAATTACCCCCTAAGGGAACGGAGCAAAGTCGTTTGGGCTGCCTTTCTCAACAGTCGGGGTGTCGCTATTGGAAGTCCTCAACAAAGGACACTGTTGTTCCCGGAGAAGTCCCCTATTCTTGAAAGACTTACAGACGTTGGGAATGCAGCATTGGTACAATGGTCTTGCAGGTGTGGGGGCGCGGCGAGCAAGCGACTTGACAGAGCTGAGGGCACGGGTCCCCAGCATTTTGAACTGGAAGAGATGAGCCAGGCCTGACGGCTCGCCTTCCACCTAGAGACAACTAGTTTGAGGACAAATCCTCCATAGACAAGATTCCTGGATCGCGATGTGCGGGGCTTCTCGAAATCAAGCTGCCAACCCCAACAACCCAGAACGACGACCGAACATGCTAGCGCAAGCGATATGGCTCAGTTGCTACTTTAGTAGAGGCAATGGCATTCACGATAATCCGAACGCAGCTTACCCGCTGGGGCGGGAGCTGGTCGTGTGCGAAAGCCACTGGGCTGTGGGCCTCGGCTGAACTCACGGCACCCGCGGGTCGGAAAGGAAAGACAGGGCGGCTTATGGGGCTGGCAGCTGGAACTCGAGTGCCCGGATGAGGATCGCATGTAAGGCGTTGTGATTCGGAGTCAAGGCTTCGGGCCTAGAAATGAGGAAGTGTGGCTGTTCCTGGCAACTTAGAGCTGGGAGCATGAGGTCCGACGAGTGGGAAATTGCTACCTGGCCTTGTTATTGTTGCAAAGCTTTGACAGCCAATGCACTTTGTGGTAAATCAATCAGATCTTTGCAAAGATAATACATGCACCTAAAGACTTTCAAGACGATGCAGTTGTGCAGAGATCAGCAATGAGACGGACAGACAGAAATCGTGTGTGCTGTTGTCGTGTGCGGTAAGCATCATGTAGCCTTCACGCCTGTATTCTAAAGTGCAGGATCCAGGGAGCAGCAGCAGATAAGTCTCCAGCCATCATGGTGTTTGCCGCCTGGTCGTACTCGTCATAGTGGGTGTACAGAAAGACGGCGTGCTCCCAGTGATAGTGCCTGCTTCGTCTTCGGACATTTGGTTGAGAGAAGGTTTCGGGTTGGTTCAGACTCGGCTGTGTGATATTTACGGCATTTGCGGCTCAGGTTCTCTAGACGAGCCTTGAAGGTAAACCCGGCGTGCAAGATAGGGGGCCTCTCGCATGCATTGATCAGCTTCGGGATGTTCAACTTCTGAATGTTCATCTTGATGAAGTCCATAAGCATCTTTGGCTTATACCTGACGGAAGTGTCGTGCCCGAGGCCACCAATCGAAAATGCAAACACTGCAATTGAAGTCGGCCATGTCAGCACCTCCACATGCCCGAAAGCCACTAACATGCCGCAAGCCCACCACCACTGAACCCTTGCAAGTGATACATTGACTGCGAAATCTACGGGCGAACTTCGCATACATGGTGGCCAGCTCGGTGTACATGCCCACATGGGCACCTAGGAGGAGCTCAGGATGGTACTGTAGCCCGGCTACGGGCTCTTTCAGGGGCCCTCGGATTCTTGCAGGAATCGGCTGAAAGTGCCATTTGCGTAGATTGCGGCCGACGACGATGTCTACGAATGAATTCATGGTAGACTAAGGCTCATTTGAGGAACGAGGAGCACAGGATCCTGGATGGTGCAGAGTTCGAAGGTGCACCCTGCTTCAAGAAGCCTTCCGTCTTCAACGTCGTAAGCGAACATCAACGGTCACCATCAAAACACAAAAACCTGCTGCTCCTTTAGCTAGGCACATTCAGAAATCTGAAAAAACAGAAGCCCAAATTGACTTGGACAACCTCGGTGCACGTTAATGCACGCACATTGCACTTGCGGATGCACAAATGCAATGTGTGTATATATATATATATACATAGATGTATATACATTCATATGTATACACACACTTGCGGCGCATTTGTTGGACAGCTTGACAGATAGATAGATAGATAGATAGATAGATAGATACATACATAGATAGATAGGTAGGTGAGTAGGTAGGTACCTGCCAGGTAGGTAGGTAGGTAGGTAGGTAGGTAGGTAGGTAGGTAGGTAGGTAGGTAGGTAGGAAGGTAGGTAGGTAGGTAGGTAGGTAGGTAGGTAGGTATCACACATATATATATACACACACACATATCGACACTATACTACACGCACACATACGTACAAAACCAGTCTGTGTGTTTGTATGTATGTACATACGTACGTCCGTACGGTACGGCACGGCACGGCAATGGACGGGACTTGACGGGACGGGACGGAGAAGGTACGGTACAGACAGTATGGTATTTATTTACATATGTATATATATATATATATGTATGTAAAATGTAGGTAGATAGGTAGGTAGGTAGGTAGGTAGGTAGGTAGGTAGGTAGGTAGGCAGGCAGCTAGGTAGGTAGGTAGACAGCTAGGTAGCTAGGTAGGTAGGTAGGTATAGGTATA